AAAGAAATATTTATGAAGGTTATGCATAATTTATATAACCTTAAAAATGAATAGGTATTAAGATTTTGATAATAAGAATATTTATACACTCATGATATACCTCATTTATTTTTAAATGTCTTAGAGTCTTATAAGTCTAAGTCTGAAATATAGTTAAATCTATTTTTTATATCCTTCATCTTTATAATTATTAAAAACAACTACATTAAATTATTAATATATCTGTTTCATTTCTGCTATTTGTATTCCTATTAATAATATCAGCCTCGTTATCCTATAGTTATTATAAATTTAAGGCTATTCCACTTTCTATCGTCTTTTAGTTGTTCAGGTTTAGATTTGGAAAACAATTTGTTAATATTTATAATTAAAATGAAATATTATAGCTCAAACATAATAAATTAAGTTGTGAATCTGACAGCCTTTTCTTCTTTAATTGAAATGTAATTAAAAAAAATTACTTCTTTTGCAAATACTTATCTTTCCTTTGATGTGATATGAGCAAATTATTCTTCCTATAGTATGTAATAGGTAAGATTACTTCATAAAAAACAAAAGATCCATCAGTGGAATTAGATTATAATCTTTATTGAATCTTTTAGTCTGACTATTTGAATCACATAAGGTTAATACATATTTCTCATCTAATTCCTTTGATAATTTTGGCTCTAAAATCTTGTATTTTATTAGGGATTATTGCCATTGACAACATTAAAATTTATTTTTCTTTAAATGAGTTTCTTAAACAAATTAAACTTAGTTTTAAATTTCGCTTTCTTAATGAAATAAAAGTTCAATAAGATTTTTTCGATAGAAGGTGAAGGGAGTTTTTTCTTATTATAAAACCTTTTATGAACTACTAGAATTTTGAACTTTGTTGATATTTTTGGTGATTTGGATATTGTGGATGCACATTATTTAAAAAAGATTATAAATAAAAATTTCATAAAACAGCTTTGAAACCTTCAGGCACAAGATCATAAAAGAGAGTAACTTTAGTGAATATCAAATTAATCCTTTGTTTAGTCTTTTAAACTTAAATATTATCTATAGACCTGACATACTCTTTTTGGATAATAATTGTAATACATCATTGCACAACCATTTGATATTGATTAACTAAAGATTTTTCAAATAGTCTTTAGAAATTTAAAATTTATCTTGCTCCTCCTACAATTTTAATTTCAAATTTTAACTTAATTTAATTAATGTTTTATTAGCTAAATTAATCGGAGATTCTGAATGAAAAGAAAATATCTTTTTTATATTTTTTTTCTATTGCTTAATATAATCATAATTTTCCTCTTTTTTTGCTACATTAAGACCTCCTGATACAATTGGAATCATGCAGCAAAAGTTTTAGGAATAATAAGCAACCATTATCTCTTGAACCTAAAATTCTCTCATTCAAATAAGCAGTAACTTAAGCTTTTTCCTTATAGAATTAATCTACAAATGCCGAAAATTTAAAAAATCAAAATCAACAAATGCCATATGTCTTCTAAATAGTTCATAATGATTACTATTTTTGTTGTATCGTGGAATATTCTCTCAAAAGGAAAAGGAATCTCAGCTACGTCAGGTCTCAATCAAGGTCTTTTTCTCTATATATATTTAATATGCTGCCACTATAATACAAAAATAACTGACTTATACATTTATGACATTATGAATTACCAATCACTTTTACTTTTTTGAACATTGAACCTACAAATTCATCAGGATTGAATGTGGTCTTCAAATAAAAGTTATTAACCTAAAATTATATTTTCAAAAATCTTTGAAACTGTGAATCATTTGGTCTGTTCTGCTCCA